GCTAAAAATAATATATCGGAGAAGGGAAGATGTGTGCTTCTGTATGCATTAGTAGCATGTGTATTTGTAATTCTGGGGTTGTATGTTAAGCTGTGATCTTCCTGTATATGTAGTGTGCTAGCATGTAATCACTGCATGTAATCAGTACCGATATATGTCATGAAGGCTATCTGAACCAGCATGTTTCTCAATTTGTGATAGTCATGTTTTGTGCAATAAAGTGTGTGCGCAGTTAGTATAAATCAATCAAGAGGATCAAGAGGCTATTTGGAAAGCACAAGGGAACATATGCTTCAGTCAACATTTTCAACCAGTAAACATATCCTTGTCTTCACTTTTGAGGAGTTCTTCTTGCCTCGCCACTGCGTGTGTCTTGCCGCTGCGCTTGTGCACGTGTGCCTCGCCGTTGTGCTTGTGCCACACCGCCGCCCGTGTCTCGTGCCGTCATGCGAGCGTCGTGCCTGCGCAGCACCCCGCCGCTCGTGCTGCACCGCCTCGCCTGCGTCACCCTTCACCACGCCGCCGCGCCGCCCAGCTCCACCTGCGCCGCTAGGGTTAGGGGTTTGGGTGGGGAATTTTTCACGAGGGAGAGGGAGAGAGAGAGGGGGAGAGATATTTTTATGTAACTGCCACATCATTTACCACATGGGTGTTCCACGTCAGACGAAAGGGGTAAAACCAGCCGAAATTAGTCGCGAGGGGGGGTTAAGTGTCCCTATTGAATAGTTCAAGGGGGTATTATATCTGGTATCATAGTTTAGGGGGGTAAAGCGTACTTTCGTACGAGTTTAGGGGGGTAAATCGGACTTAACTCTAGTTTTAAATAGTTAGGTGTAACTCTATGTATATATAAAATATACGATAATGTAGATTTATATATGCCTTATGTTATTACAATACAATTTATGTTTTCTTTGTCCAAGCGTCATTGTGTATTATTATAATATATGAATAATATTTTCATATACAATATGTGTATCGTTATAGTTAGATAATTTGTATCTCTCTACTTCACTCAACTTTTTTTCTGAAAATAGATTCAGGTAACGATATCTAATAATTATAAGCCATCTTATCATGCATTATAAAATAAAACACACATATTGAACGCTAATTTGAGTTGTATTTGGAACACATGGTGTTATGCACAAAATATATAACAGTGCTATATGTGACTGTGAGGTGGAGCAAATGGAGGTGAATGGATAACTCATAAATAATTGAATAGGATGAATAAGTAGCTTCTTGGTCCAACGATTATTATCTTTGTACTAATATGATCTAATAGTTTAAATTTGTTGATAATGTAGGTTTTTGCATGTCTTGTCTTATAGGAGTAAATGCCCGTAGTGGATACGAACTATATAGAAAGATATGATTTCATCTTGGTTTAAAGTGGATGAATGAAACATTATTTTCTTCATCTATAATAAAACATCGTGTGCATTGTGAACGTCGTAAGGACAGTAGGACACCTTCAATGTGGATGGCTCTATTAAGTTTATTTAAAGCATGGTGAACGAGTTTATATTTTTTTTGTTTAGCAAGGCTATATGACTATATATCAATTAAAAGATGCATATAACCATATATGACAAGATTTAAATCCTAGTGGATAACGTCGGACATCCATAGCTCCTCCACCGCACTAATTGTTACTCTTTTCGTTCCACACGTTTTGGCATCTCCATTATTTGTCTAGCATCACTAATATCCTTATTAATTTGGATACATATGTAAAACATATGCACGGATTTATGCATGAATTTATTCAAAACCAAAAATGTCTTAGGGCCTGTTTAGATCCCTGTAAAAAAATTACACCATGTCACATCGAACATTTGAACAAACGTATAAAGTATTAAATATATGCTAAAAAAACTAATTATACATATTGTGACTAATTTACGAGACGAATCTTTTAAACCTAATTGCTCCAAGATTTAGCATGTGGTGCTACAGTAAACATTTGCTAATGACGAATTAATTAGGCTTAATAAATTCGTCTCGCAGTTTACTAACGGATTCTGTAATTAATTTTTTTATTAGTGCCCGACACCATAAATAATATCCGATGTGACGCACCAAAACTTTACACCCCTAACCTAAACACCCCCATATAACCGAAGTCACAGTGTATATGGACCATGAGAGCCATTAAAGATCGGCCCATTTACAACCAAACTCGTTGCCCATAATCTCCATTCCAAGAAAACTTCCTCTCTTCCCCCTCGCCCCCTCACCAACGGAAAATGGAAAGAATCAGCAGCACAGGCAAACATTTTTACCAAGAGTACGTACGTAATGGCTGGACCATATAGTTTTAAAAGTTCTAATAAAATTCAAAGTACGTACAATTTAGAATTTTTCCATTGAAATTTCCTTCGACGTGTAAGCAGTATAGCAGATCGATTTTGAAATCTTTTGGAACCTAGGCAAATACATGTATAAAATATTTTCGACGTGTAAGCAGTAGTGGCTGTCCAGGGTCATCGGGCCTTGGATCTGCTCATGCGGAGAAAATTGATATTCTGCCATCTTCGAAAACGGGTTTTGCTCAAATGCCAAACTGGGAGTGGGCTTCATTAAAACTAGGTAAAATCTCGTGCGTTGCTGTGGGACTTCAGTATGATAACAATAAGTAAAAATAATGTGTAAGATAGCTAAACAACGTAAACTTACATATGCACTAAAATCAATTGATGTGATATGGCTTAATTAGATAAGAGAGAAATAACATTAACCAAGTGAGGATGAACTTACATAGGTACATAAGATATTTAAAATTTAAAAAATAATGAAGATATATATTGAAATATTATGTGAATTATGTGGGATGATGATTTAACATGCTTTCATTTTAAAAGCTCTAAAATATAATAAATTTTAAATTATAGATAATATAGCATGTTTGCATGATATTAAATGTATTGATTATTAGTAGATGATGATTTGTCAACTTGTTAGTAGATGATGATATGGCATCTTTGCATATTAAACTTTAGGAGTAAGTGGGTTATAACTTTATAGTAAGATAGGATGTCACTTTCAATCGAAGACTACACGCTATAATATCTGAACGGACAAAAATGCCCCTCTTGCTGCTACCTTCTTCCACCTCTGACAAGGACATGAGGACGGATGCCCCGCCAGCTCGCCTCTGCCGTGCTCGCCTCATCGGCCTCCACCTGCGCTCCCCTTCCTCCCCGCCCCCACCCGATGACCCCGTGGTTGCGCTCCACGCCATCCGCGCCGCCAACACCGACGTTGGCAGTCTCCATCTTTCGTGCCAACCTGTCGTCCCAGCCGCTCCCGTTTTTCCAGGCGGTGGAGGCGCGCCCGCACGGCGGAGTCGTTGGTGCGCACGGCCATGGTGAAGGCGCGGCAGCGCTGGAGCAGCTCCTACACAGCGCGCTCGTGGCGCTCCCACTTGGCGCGGTAGTCATCGGAAACCTCGTAGTTAGCCTCACCGCCGCCCCCACCTCCTGCCGCCGCGGAGGTGGAGGCGACGGCAGCAATGGCCGGGGTGGGGGCACGGGGAGGGGAGCCATGGGAGGGGTCCCCGCAGGGGCCTGTGGCCTGGGGTTCTCTATGGAGGAGAGCTCGCGCGAAGGCAACAAGCTAGGGTTAGCGTTTTGAAGGCGGTGGTGCCAATGGAGAGAGCTGATGATGGCTGCCGGCGAGAGCTGATGGTGATGGAGGGAGGAAGAAGATGAGAGTAGGGTAATTTGGTCCGAGATACTCCCTCCTTCTAAAAGTCTAAATCCTATTTCATTCTTTGGTTTTTTCAAAAGTCTAAGTCCTATTTGCAGTCACTATGTGCTATATTAAATTTTTTATCGGAACCCAAGAAGTCATTCAGTACTTATTGGTTGCATGTTCATTGGTTTTATCACATGATGAATGAGTTAACTGCACCTTGATCTTGGTGAAAAATAAATAGGACTTAGACTTTTAGAAGGAGGGAGTAGTATTGTAGCGTGTAACCGTGTAACCATGTGTCGATAGTGGTATTTTATCGAATCTATTTTGCGGAGTGGCATTTGGACAAAACCCACTTTTGACGATGACACAATATCAATTTTCTCACTCATGCGTGTAAGCCTCAAGTCCAAGCTGCCCCCACACGCGTATCCCTTCTTTCATTAAAGTTAAGACCCAAAGCTGCTATCTCATGCCTCCACGTCACCAGCTAATTGAAGCCGTTGAATCAATTCATATCAGCTACTACTAAGCGTTGGATTAGATACTAAGCAGCATGATCTCTGCTGATGCACCTTGGAGGCCCATTTCTCAGGTAGGCCCAGCTGACTGTGAGCTGAGAGTGCAAGAGACCATTCGTCTCTTTGTTAGAGGTGCCTCTGGCTGCAGCATGCAGCGAGGACGCATCATCTTCTCTCAAATCAATGGCCTCACTAATTAAGTCCATTCAAATGCATGGCACTACACTAACCTGCCTCATCAAGCCATTCGATTTCAACTTAATACCTGATGCTTTCGTCCGATTGCTTTCCTCTAATTGATCTAAATAGTAGTAATAACAGCCGTACGTTTTTCCCCCAACTTTCACCAGTTACTTAGATGTAGAGTCATGGAATTTAATATCCTTAATTAATTCTCTTCTACGAGCTTATATGATTTCATCTCTAGAGTCTGCACATCATGATTTATCATGCATGTGTGCCTCCAATCACCATACATGTGCCACGGTGCCTCCAAAATCCAGATGTCATATCATTCACCAGATGCCAGCTGCAGGTGATTCAATTCATTACAAGCAGATGAGTCTGCACCATTATCCGGTGGCTGAAGTTTTGCACGTATTCTAGCCAGTTGCCAAAGAGTGAGCAGAGTTATATGCATGCCAACCATTCAATATAACCTCTATATGAAGCAGGAGGTGCTTACTACTTTCGCTATACTATCTACTAGAAAGAGCCACGCGCTACGCTGCGTGTGCCGGTGCTGACATTAGAAGGTTTGTCATAATAAAAGCAACAGAAGGTAGATATAGCCAACATTACATTCGAACCATACCACCAAAGTTCAAATATGAGTTGTTTTGATCGGTTTGTTTGGAGTGCTATCTATATGATCATGTACACTTGAGCAAAAATAGCAACCACAGAAAAGTGGCGCATGCGTACAGTGGATTATATTAGGGAAACTAAGTGGTTATAAAGCGCAATTAGAAGGTGGTCTGACATATGTACAAACCGATCTCTTCAATAGAACTTGCGTTGCAAAGAAATGTAGTGCTTTAGCTTGATAAAAACATCACATCATAACATTTATCCATAGCAATTTTGCACATGAGCTAGTACTGGATGCTGCTAAAGCTATCCCCTACATTATGTCCAAAAATTTCATATTAGATGGGCATTCATAAGTATTCTCAAGAAATATTTTCAGCTCACGAAAAGGGGAACAAAACATTGAACCTATAAAACAAAAAAATGATTAATGACATCATTGCATGAAGTCAACTTATAATGAAAGCTTCATAATCATATTTGTGAAAACAAAAAAATTCAATCCAAAAGGATCGATCTTCTAAAATTCCAATAACATGCAGTGCAAGGCAAAAAAAAAAATCAAAGCAAGAATATTACTTTAGAGGGAAAGAAATATTAACTGTCCCAACTACAACCATTGGAGCATATGGCAGGACCTATCTAGAATGGTTTGAACTAAGAAGAGGTTTCAACGAATTGAATGTCACATGCCATAATATACTGAAGTAGAACTTCATTTGCAAAGCACAAGAGAACCACGCAGTATAGCTAGAGATATGGAGGCATGATCAATTGAGGTATAACATATACTCTTGATGTGAACACTGATAAGAAATTCAATAAATCATGGTCATTAATACAAATCAACTAAGGTTGATACTTTTCTAGCATAAAAGTACCTATGGGAAATGCAAGCATTGATCCTTTGGGGTGACCACTTGATGTAATAACTTATTGAAACACCATGGAAAGAACCTCTGGACTGAGCACTGGATGTAATGTGTTATTGAAACACCATATTGAAAGAAAACTAAGGTATGAGTAAATTATGCCATGAAATGAAAATATGGTTATTTTGGTCTAGTAAAGTTCTGACAGATATCAGATATATCCTTTTTTGGGTTTGGGATTGTTGTGACCTACAAAAACCCAGTTTTAAACTACTGCAGCTGTTACAATATGTATGATTCACACATAATTATAGAGCTTGATCTAGATACGATTGCCGACAGGTTTGCACCAAAACAATAAAAACCATCTAGTTTATTTTTACACAAACGATCTATCTGAATATCCTTCATTTCAGAATTTTGAGGCTGGAAAAGAAAAGCACTAACCTCCCCTGTTTTGCTGAAAGAAGAACATAAGCAGGGCATGGACAGAACATAAGCAATTGTCTCGTGCATCAAAGTATAGTATGAAGTCTAGATCCATCTATTGCACTTGCAAATAAAAACTGGGGAAGTGTACTATTCCATACTGTGGAATGCAGATAATTACCTTGTTGTGCAGGTCTGTAAAAAGGTACCACAACACATTTTCATCCGAAAGAAACAATTGCTCTTGTTTGCCATAATGCATCGAGCTGTTAATGTCAACTACTATTATGAATGGCAAACCTGAAATTAGGAATATATGTTTTAATGTGAGGATAGGCACCAACACTATCAGTAAGTTCCAAAATGCTTGTGCGAATCACATATAATAGTAATTGCGTAAGAGACCACATAAATATTGTAGATTGTATCATAAAGAAATAGCTAAAGATAATAGGTCACATATTTAGGAACCGGAGGTAACATTTTGGAAAAATCAATAGAAAAACAAACAGAGAACTATAAATCTATTGACAGAGTAACCTCTATTCAAATTGCATATGGAGTTAAGATTTGGATGTATAAGAATGGTACCTAGCCAAATTCAATGGCTCAATTTGGTTAACTGGTAATAAGCCAAGATTGTAACTTGCCAGGTTTACAAATAATGCTTGATAGTGTATGCATCAAAATTACTAAAGATTGTCCAAATGAACACCATTAATGCACTGGTACTCTGTCAATTCTACCAAAAAAATGGTGGGCAATAAATTCACAAATTTTAAATATGATTTGTTGGAAATGGAAGAAAGCTGAGGAAACTGAAGAGACGCATCATCTGCTCATAGCATAAACACAGTACATTGCCATTAAGCTAAACCTACGTAATCTGATGAGAAATCTAATGACCACATATAACACCACCCAAGTGAAGACAGGAAAAGAGCATCTATGTCTCGAAATAGAAACACAGCTGTAAGCACAACATTTAGCAAGTGAAAACTGCAAGATGGGGTTGTCTTTCCACATCATCCATGTGAAACTGAATGTACAGGAAGCTAGGAAGCTATGGACAGGGGGATAGCAGCGTTGTGCATACCGATATGGGATCAGTCCAAGAGTTGATGGGTCATGGTCTGGATGTGGAGGAAGCACCGATGGCCAGCGGAATCGATCAGAACCTGCGTCAGCATGAACATATGGAGCGGAAAATTAGGACTCCAGAAAGGGAGGGAAGGGGAAGGGAGTGTAGACCTCACCTCACCATAGACGACTGGAAGGTCGAGATCGTCAGGCGGAGATGAACCAGCGCCGGCAGCTTGCGATGACACCTAGCCCACGGTCGAGGCGGAGATGCCGAAGAGGTCGGAGTGCTGGCAAGGCTCAAATCCATGCTGGCGCAAGGACATGACTACATGGGAGGGGAAGGGAAAAAGGGCGGCGGATGCTCCAAACCGGGAGGGAGAGCACGCGTACCTCCTCACCTGTGAGGCGCTGGATCTAACAGACGATGAAACTTGGACGACGAACGGTGGTTGCGGCGAAGAAGCTCGGCGGAATTAGGGAGTTAGAGGGAGGAAAAGGGATGGCGGCGGAGGAGGCGACGTGGGTGAAGCGGCGGCGCTTTCTTCGCTGATTTCTCCTCTCGTGAGAGAAAACGCGAGGAGACGGTGTGGTCGGCTGGGTCGGGAGTGCGGCTAGGGTTTCTGTGTGCTGACGTACTTTAGAGATCTGGACCGTCCAATCTTGCTTTGCCGATCCTACGGCTCCGAAAGAGCAGCCAAGCTGGCCACGTGGATAGCTGGATCGCTCCTAGCCCGCAATCGAACGGGTCATGATAGCTGGAACCAAAATGCAATTAACCAGAGCTCAGGGTGTTTTCTATAAAAATCGATGACGTGGCAAACCTTTCACCGATCCTTTGGCGTTTAGGTAAACAAATATGTGCAATGTGCCACCATTCATTTGCTAGATTGATTTAGTCCTACAGTAGATGATGCAATGTGTGGCGAAAGAAGGGAGTCATTTTCTGTCTTTTCTTATCTATGTCCGTTTTTAGTTCCCATATTACTACTAGCAGTGTGCCATTTAATTTTTCTGTTCCCTTTTCTGGATTCAATATAAATGTTCTTTGGTGTTTGATAAGATTATCATCATAATCAATATTTTCCCTATCTAATTATGCACGGAGAGAATGCTCCAGGACTACAGTTGTGTTGTGTGCTGATACACTGATTCAATAATCCGAATAGCCTTTTTTTTTCTTTTTTCCTTAATGATTCAATTGAAAGAAACTTGCTTTTATAGTTTCATACATAAGTTCACAGGGTCTACAGTATAATGTTTGTGATGTGCAATAAACTGATCTAACAAAAGAAAAAAGATGTCTTCGTGCATGTCTGGGACTGCATGCACTTTGGCCAGCGGGCACAATGCAACAATTATATATGCATTTTGTGAACGAATTTTCTATACATCTTCCCCATCTCTCACAGGTAATTTGGCTAACTATCCTGATGACTTACTCTAATGAATCAACATCGGTAAATCTAATTGGAGAGGCCTCTCCAATTAGTCTTAACCAGAGGTATCCATGTGCTAGTACTTAATCCAGTGAGTAAGTAGGGGAAATATTCCTATCATCTATGCTTCAAATAAAATTTTCTCTTAAATTACTCATCCGATTTACAATCCGATTACACCGTTGTGTTCGTAATAATTAAATATTTACAACAAGATCTCACATGATTATATTTTGATGAAAAATCACAAATTACTTTTATGATATGTCTAAATTACTTTTAGATTTCACTAAGTTACTTCTTAGACATATAAAAGTAAATTCAGTAAAGCCTAAAAGTAATTTACATATATTATAGAAGTAACTTATAACAAAAAGAAAGTAACTTTAATTAATGCTTTTTTTCATTGAACAAATATATATATATATATATAGTAAATTTGTTTGGTGCTCCATGGTGCCCGGGCACCATTGTTGAAATTGAGTATATACCTAATTCAAATGAGTATGAAACTTTTTCAATTACTTAGATATTAACATTAGCTACTTTACTAACTAGTTCAAAGCAAGTTTGAACTGAATTTGAACTTGTTTTTGTTAGATTTTGATTCTAGGTATATAGCATCCATACATATAATTAGTTAGGTATGTAATCATGGATTGTGAAATAAAGTTAAATTTGAGTTGTTTTGTTGATAGGTATAGGTATGAATCGAGTTATTATAACTAGGTATATACTCACAATTTGAAAATTTTGAAAAATTTGAGTGATTTTGTGTATTTGATACCATGGTGCCCGGGCACCATGGTGCCTCATATGAGTGTCATATATATATATATATGTTACTTTTAGATTTGATTAAAATACTTCCTATACATTCATAATGCTCTGAGGTGATTACTTTTATTATTATTTTAGTTAATTCTATAATTTGTGCTGAATAATTTAATTTCTAGATAGAGTCATGTTTTTATCTCTACAACGGATTTACTTCAAATGACATGCCAAAGTTACCTTCGTTTTGTTCTAAGTTACTTATATAATATATGTAAATTACTTTTAGGTTTTACTGAATTTACTTTTATATATCTAAGAAGTAACTTAGTGAAATCTAAAAGTAATTTAGACATATCATAAAAGTAATTTGTGATTTTTCATCAAAATATAATCATGTGAGATCTTGTTGTAAAGATTTAATTGTTACGAACACAACGGTGCAATCGGATCATAGATCGGATGAGTAGTTTAAGAGAAAAATGTATTTGAAGTATAGGTGGATGGTGCCTCTTATAGATGGAGTGGTAGCTAGTTTAGACAAACCAGCTACCACTAGCTGTGTAGTTACGTCCAATCAACATGCAAATACAACTTCAGGTTCTCTGTTCATATCTTATTGCTTTCTCTTTGTTTTTTTATTTTTACAAATATACTTCTTTAGATCAATTAAGAGAAATTTTGGCTTCAATCAAATCTGCTTCAATTCCCGTGTCAACGCATGGTATCCAAATTGCCTGGCTCTTTTTTCTTCTCTTACGAAACCAAAACACCAAAAATTTGTTTTCCGATGATCCATCTATATTGTTTCCCTTCCTTTTCTTCTCTCATGAAGCCACATCACCTTAGTTTTGCTTTTAGTTGATCAATATATGATTTCAATTGTCATAAACCGCATCATCTGAATTGCTTATAGCTTTTTTCAACGATCAATCAAAGATGCAAATTTTATAAAGTACATAAAGTTATGTTGTTTAGCTACAAAACAAATCCTACCATTATCATGCAAAAATTTCCGCAGCAATGCGCGAGGTTTCATCTAGTTGAAATTATGATCCATACCGCTAGTGGGTTGTACACCACTTGATTTACATTTAACTATTTAAAGATGTAAAATCTAAATACATACAAAGTTAAATAAAAAAATGTGCACATGAATTACGAATTGTTTTTTTCTGGACGTATGCCAAATCATATAGCTACAAATTTGTACAATAGAGATTTACCATAATTTGAGCTAATGGAATTATTCAGAGGTGCGGAGACAAGGACAACTAGAGCCCTAAGCTCAACACTTTATTCTGTAATCACATTGAAACTCTATTATATATTGTGCAAAATTTGCAGAAGAATACCAACCCCATCGTTTAGCAAAAGTAATTTATGAATAAAACTTTTATAAACACGCTCTTAGCGATGTAAAAGCAAAAGTTGAAAAATAAAAACTTTTTTTAGGAATACGCAAAAGGATTGCGCACTTTTGTATTAAGAGGAATAAAATTTATACAAACGGCAAACAAATAAGAGAGATAGGAAAAAAAAGGGGGGAAAGGAAAAAAACAAGGACTTAAGCCTACTCTCGCTATTACAATGTGACGACCGAACAACCGAACACGCTAACTAGGGAGCGCTGGCGACAGGGAATGGGCAAGACACCGTAGGGCGGCTTCTTGTGCCATGGCTGTGACAACCTCATACCAGAACCGGGGACGGTTATTGAACACACGGTTGTTCCTTTCCTTCCAAATGGACCAAGCGCCAAGAGTCACAATCGTATCGAACCCACGACGATGCTCGCTCGGAACTTTGAGCTGGCAAGAGCAGTGCCACTCATGGAAGGAAACAACGCCAGAGGGGAAACACTGAGGGAGGCCAAGGCTCGAAAGGATAGTCCAGCATAGCTCGAGGGACTCAGGGCACCCAATCAGAATGTGGTCAATTGTCTCTTCCACTTGGTCGCAGAAGACACAAAAGGCTGGGTGCGGGAGCCCACGCTTCTCCAAACGGTCAACCGTCCAGCAGCGTCGGTGAGCAACCAACCACAGGAAGTAGCGACACCGAGGCGGGGCAAAAGATCGCCAGATTGGCAGGTGCTGAAATGAGATCCTGCCCGAGAAGAGGGCAAGGTAAGCCGACCGGATGGAGTACGACCCCGAACTCTCCCACCTCCAGATGAAAGAATCATGATGGCCCTCTGAGAGAGTTGTTGTTCGCAGCAACGACCAAATCTGCAAGTATTGCAAGATTGCCTGGACTCCCAAGGAGCCATGGAGATCGCGGATCCAGCGGTTGTTGGCCAACGCATCAGCGACCAAGAGCTTCAGGCGGACACGCACCGGAACGCGATCAATGAAAAAACCTTAAAATCGGCTTCAAATTTAAGATTAAAAATTCAAATTTTTGCTGATAAGCATAAGCTAAAAAGATGATGCCGGTTCAGCAACAAATCAATATACCCATGGCTTATTTCTGGCAGCTTCCAAACTGATAACCCCACCAACTTTGAGCACAAAAAACTAGTCCTTGGGAAAAAAAAAAAAGGAACAAGTGAACAACCCAGGCGTGAACTGGGCCTTTAGAAGCTTGGGCTCCAGGCCTCCAACCCAGACGTGAGAAATATGGCCTCATACTTCATCGATCCCACAACCACATGGCACCGCTTCCCCTCCCCTTCTCGCTTGCTCCTCCGACGGCGCCGCTTCCCGACTTCCGGCGGCGAGCAGCCGGGCTGCGGATGCGCCCTCGCTGGCCCAGGACGATCTGGGACCCACGGGCGTAGTCTCCGCGGCATCGGCGACGGCAACGGCGGCCGGCCGGCGGGAAGCTTTAGCTCCGGCCAGATTGACGGCGCCCTCGCCGCCGGCTTCCGTGGAGAGCAGGTACGCCTCGCCCTCTACTCCTAGGTCGCGGTCCGCGCGCCGCGCTTGGGCTCGGACTGAATCCATCCAGCAATCGAGTTTTGTCCCACATCGCCGATTCAGAGACAGAGCGACCTGTTTATCAACGCGGGTCGATTCTATCTCATCGCCTCCCCGGGGGCACCCACCCCGACTGAATACAGCGTAAAGATCGCCTCCGTGCGCACGGTCGGTCGTGTTCCCCCTGCCGTTCAGCTGAAAAAAAAAAACAGAGAGAGCAGTGAAAAGATCCCCCTGCCGGCCAGCTGCAAGAGAAAAAAAAAAGAAAAATGGAGCAGTGAAAAGATCCCTACTTTTGGGCACGGCAGGCGACCCCCTGCCGGTTAGTTGCATCCATAAAAAAAAAAATCTTAAAGATGCCCTATAGAGGCACACAGTCGGGCCTCTGGTGGAGGCAGCGCTAGACAATTAGCGCTTTGCTTTTTTGAAACTATTATTTTTCATTGAATCATTGGTTATAATCATGCTTGCCAATCTCGTTGAACATCAGCTACAGCTAAAATATTCGACAATTTTATCACGGATACAGGTGTGAGAAACCACATAATGCTTGCCAATTTTATTTGTTTTTAGTTAAACAAACTGCCATTTTAGTTCCTTAGTACAGGAATGGATTAGCACAATATCCTCTGCGAAATTTCTTCCCAGATAAGTTGGCAACTTTTTTGACAAGTCGACAAGCACGATCGCAACACCTAAACGCCTTGCGGTGATATGGAGTCGCCAACCACCTGGATCTAGCCAAAGGGCCAAATCAAGATGGGTTTTGCAAAAAGAAAAGCTAAACCGGCTAGCGGAGCTGATTTAGAGATCAAAATCAGCCTCTAGGCCGATTTAGATCGATATAAGGATAACTACCCGTCTCGTGGGCAAAACGGAAGGTTTTCAGGACAAACCTACAAAGAGGTGTCGCACTCTCGCAGCGGCGGCGGACGGTTTACGGCGCAAACCGACAAAGATGGACTATACTAGGGTAAAATAGAAAACATAGTAAAAGAACGATTCAAATAGATTATATTCGGGGGTTTTACAATGAACCGGCCTTGTCCCTTAAATAGGGGTTGGTCTTGCCCTCTACAGGCGGCTCCACGTCCAACTCGGGATAGAAACTAAAGGAAACACGAAACATGCCTTCCGAGCAAGGAAACCCGAGACCCGACGAAAACAGACTCGGACTCGGACCCTGCCGGTCTGACCGCCCACATACCTGCGGTCAGACCGGCCCTACTAGCCGGTCAGACCGCCCACACACCAGCGGTCTGACCGGCCCTGTGAAGGAAACCCGTCACTTTCCAAACTTTGGCAATTTTCCCCTATTTCGTCCATAGGTGCCAAATTTGGGTGTAAACAATTGTCACAACCTGCCAAATTTCCATATGGACCACCGTTTCATTCATTCTTACTTCCCAATATTCATTTATGCAAATAAAATATGTAGCCCTTTGAAGTAGATATTTGAAAAATAGTGTGAACAATAATTTTATTCCTCGCAGTATTACCATCTTTGTTACTTATGCCCCTTGTAATCCCATGCTATGTAATAGACATGCATTTGAACTTATACAAATGGAATTTAAAAACTGACGTGTTTAATAAATAGTTTCAATACATTAAAAAGCATGGCATTGAGCCATTGATTCTTCAGTCTTCTAAATTCCATCATTTCTGATTATTCTTCACAGAAGTTTACTTTCTCACAAAATGGTTGTTTCCTATGCCAACTCATCTGTCTTTATCATGCACTTGAATTTGATACATTGATAATATATTTATGCAGGTCGCTACCCAGAGTAGGTGTTGGTCATATGGTGTACATCCCTGGTTTGACAAACCTGCTCCTTGAGTTCAGCGAACATGTAAGCAACATAACTTGTTTGAAGCTGCATATTCCATATATATTATTTGAAGTTGCTGTAATGCATTTGTAAAATAACTTGAATTGTTCTCTTAGCTACATATAAATAGCACAGAGAATAGATAAGTGCTTCAGAGAATAAGGGTTCCAAGAGATGATGTAATAAAGATGGGGTCAACGTGGTTCCCTAATTTTGGGGTATAAAATATAAAATCAAGCAGTTTTTATAAACTTTTTAGGAGCGAATCATGGGTAAGATTTAAATATTTTCTTCAACCCCAGGTACTTCGCTGACTTGGGCAACCCCAGGTACTTTAGTTTGGCTGACAAGCACGCCAGAACTGAGTTGCTACTAGTAGTGACTGGGTGACACCAACATTGATCTCACTGTTGTCTTCAGCCTTGGAATTACTGAGTTTATCATGATGTGAAAATTGTGGCATTTACTTGAATTTGTGGTTCTTTTGTCGAGGGTGATCTTCTCAAGGATCTGAATTTTGCACAAGTGACAAGTCAAATGTTCTTGGGTTGTGCAAGCGGACTGCTGATACAAACTGTTTTCAATAAAAGCACATATGTTGCACACTTCACTTTTACACCCATAGGTCCTCACATCTTCCTAATTAAGATTTGATATCTTAGGAGATAGTTCAAGCACTCGTCAATATATGTGCAGTGGTGAAGTGTATACCCTCCAATCCTTGAAATTTACTCATCTTATTTAAATGTGTGTTTTACGATGCAACTACGTGACTATTTGTAGGATATTATATGTCACAGGTGCAGTAGCTAGTGTGACTACAACTTAAGCAGTCACACAAGCACCACTGGATTCGAAACGGATGATCCAGATGTATCGCAATATTGTACTTCCTCCGTTTCACAATGTAAGTCATTCTAGCATTTTCCACATTCATATTGATGTTAATGAATCTAGACACTAGATTAATTAACATCAATATGAATGTAGAAAATGTTAGAATGACTTATATTGTCAAACAGAGGGAGTAGCAAGTATTGTAGCGCTTTACTGCAAAAAAAAATATAATTTCCGAATTCACTGTAGCAAATGATCTGGACCATTGGATGAGGGCTCAAATTGTGTGCAGTTGCTGTAGTGCAGCCGCAATAGCAACTGCACTGGATCTCAATCCACCGCCATTGCCATCTCATGGCTATATGTCCGAGCCTCCAAATCAGAGGTGGAGAGAGGCATAATCACAAAGAGAAAATTCCCTGTGTACCCTTGTATCTTCACCCAATCCCTTCTATGCTCTCATGATTTGCTCATTTCATTCCATACCCCTAAATTTCAGTTTGGATTCCTTCTATACTCCTTCCGTCAGTTGACTGTTAGTTGACCGTTAATTTTCTATCATAAAGTCCATTTTGCCCTTTGGTATAAAGAAAATATAAATTATGAATTATATTGATGAAGTGTATAAATTTATCACCCAATCCCTTCTATCCTCGAGATTTGCTCATTCCCTTCCATATCCCTAAATTTCAATTTGGATCTTTCGTCAGTTGATTGTTATTTGACCGTTAATTTTCTATCATAAAGTCCATTTTACCCTTTGGCATCAAGAAAATATAAATTATGAATTATATTGATGAAGTGTACAAATTTATCACCCAATCCCTTCTATGCTCTCAAGATTTGCTTATTCCCTTCCATATCGCTAAATTTTAGTTTGGATCCCTTCTATACCCCTTTCATCAGTTGACTGTAAGTTGACCGTTAATTTTCTATCATAAAGTCCATTTTGCCCTTTGGTATCAAGAAAATATAAATTATGAATTATACTGATGAAGTGTATAAATTTATTGTATGCGACTATTGTATGAATGAGTTTATTTTAGTTTCGCCTCGCGAAGGGAAAAATAATTTTTATCTATGACATAATTTATTTTTAATAAAACAAAAAAAATAATATTTTTACCATTAAAAACTGTATATATAGTGTATTTTGTTATAGTAGTACGAATTTTTTTATAAGATAAATCTTGTAATGCGAGATAAAAAATATTTTTTGTTAAATAATATATTACAAAATAAACTCTTAAATATAATAGTCGCATACAATTAATTTATACACTCCATCAATGTACTTCATAAATTTAGATTTTCTTGATGCAAAGCGTAAAATGGGCTTTATGATATGAGTTTAATGGTCAACTGACTGAAGAGGTATAGAAGGGATTCAAACTGAAATTTAGGGATGTGAAAGGGAATGAGTAACTTTCAAGGTTACAAAAGGAATTTTCTCAATCACAAATCATATGGCTTGAGCCCTATATATGCCTTGCTAGCTTTGTAATCCTGATTAAAATCTTATGAAAACGTTATATAATTTGTTAAACATTGAGCTTTTATTAGTTCGGCCCAGCGTTTGAAGATTTTTAAGCTCCGCCCCTGTTCTAGATGTCACCGTTGACGATGAGGATTGGAAGTGGAACAGGGCTTAATTAAAGCCTCCATATATAATCACTATCATAGTTATTATATGGAGAAAACTTATGCATCTAGTGGTGGATATATATGAAATGAACTAGCATAGGCAGCTCTTATATGAAGCTAGGTCTTGACATTTTCCTTTAATACAGTATTATTTCTAAAAAAAATATTCTACCCCTCGACGTACGTGGTCAGATGCACTAGCTTGCAGTTCCAGGAGGCAACCGTCGTCCATGATAGGCGGTGCATGGCCATCTCGACCAGTTATTTTTTTATTTTATAGAGAAGGTTTTTTTTTTAAAAAAGGAACTTAGTTTATCAAGTAGGAAAATTTAGCTCTCATATAACCCAATCTGAAATTCACTCCTATAGCAATTTGAACTTAGGACCTTGTGTGCTACTCATATCACTGCAACCATTACGCTACATGCTCCTTCACCTCAACCAGTTATTGCCCCCAAGGTACAATATTTTCATTTATTACTCCCATCAATCAGAATATTTTACGCTTATGAAAAGTCATGGTAAAACTTGTGAAACTCCGACGTATTCTTTGTCTCAAAATATGACAACCTAGCTAGTTGGATTAAACACATTCTGATACTACTTCAGATTCATAATGCTATATTGTTTTTAAAAGTAATGTTATATTTTAAAATGGAGAAATAATTTTTATTAATGTAAGAAAATTACAAATCTATATATGTACTACGATCAACCTGTCGCAAACTACTCCCTCCGTCCTATAAAAAATCAATCTAATACTGGATATAGCATATCCTAGTACTACAAATTTAGACATACATCTGTTCAGATTTGTAGCACAGGTTGTGTCACATCCTATCCTAGATTTTTTTTTATGGGACGTAGGGAGTACATATTTAGGGACGTGTATTACGAGACATGCATTATAAAACTACAGATTTAGCACATTTTTTTCATGAAACTATAGATTCAACTCATTGCCACAAAACTATATATGACTTATTGCAACTTAAAAAATAATAGTATACTATGGATCTAAACTCTAAATCTGAAGTCTTTGGTAACACTATCACTAACTTTGTAGTTCTGTGTTATGATGTCTATCTTAAATATATAATTTTACAATAGACTTGGTGCTAAATTTGTAATTTTACGATGCACATCTTCAAATTTGTAGTTTTACGATAGTTTGATTAAAATATCTCTAGTTTAGTGAAAGTTACCTAAAATAAATTTGGTATGAATAAGTTTGCCTCGAAAATTTCACTACAAGGAATCTGTTAATCCATGATGAAAAATTTCCGTCACGGATCATCAAAAAACCGTCACTATGCAGCATCTGTGATGGTTTCAGAGATGGTCACGGATTGAGCGTCATGGATTAACCTCTATGACGGTTTATCAAAAACCATCACAGATTAATGGAATCGGTGACGGTTTTAAACCATCACGATAGAGCCCGAGGCCTAGTTAGCCCAGCCCAAGTTCATTTCTATGACGAAAAATAACCGTCACGGATTGAATGCCACGTCATCATGGATGCTTACATGGATGATGACGTAGACACTACCTCAACCTATTTATTAACAGGCCAAAATCAAAGATGGGCCAATTTTTAGCCCAATTTCATCCATTTTCGCAGCTCCTTTTCAGCCATTTTGGCAGCCCATTTTCAATAGCTTTACAACCCATTTCAGCAGCTTTGCAGCCCAATTTTGTCACCATTTTTTGGTGCCCTTTTCAGCCCACTACTACATCACTTACAGCCCATATATACAGCTTAATTTCACAACTAAAGCCCATATACACAGCCCATGCAAATAATAGTTGCAGCAGCAAATCAAATAGAAATATCATTTTTCCATTCAATATCATATCACATGATTTTTCATCCAACATCAGATTACAACATTCAAAGTGCATACAACCTTGCAGTTTACCATGGCTCAAACCAACAACAAATAGAGATTCCAAGCAATGCATACAAGTCTAGGAGCTTAGGTAGTGTTTGGTTTGGGGACGAAGTGGGATGGGTCAGACCTATCCTAGTTTTGTGGGATGGGATGGTTCCAGTTGTCTGTTTGGTTTATGGTATGGGATGGTTATAGTTTTTTGTTTGGTAGAAGGGATTGAGGTGGGATGGGATGGACGGATTTGTACTCACCGTTAGTGCCGTCTAGGGGCGGAGGCACTCGGCGGCGCCCGGATCTGAGAGGACCGGCGGCGGCGCTTGCGAAGGTGGCGGCGGCGGTCGTAGACGAGGCAGAGGTGGCGGAGTTTGTGGAGATGGCGGTCGCGGTGCTCGTGGAGGTGGCGGCAGTCATGGACGAAGCGGAGGAGGCGCCGGGCGCGGAGGCGAGGCGGCGGCTGGATCTGAGTGGAGCGGCGGCGGTGCTAGCGGAGGTGGCGGTCGCGGATGAGCGGCGGCACTCGTGGAGGCGGCGGCGGCGGCTGTGGAGGCGAGGCGGCGCTCGTGGACGCGCGGAGGTGGTGGTCGCGGGCAAGCGGCGACGCTCATGGAGGCGGCGGCGGTCGCGGACGAGGCAGAGGCGGCGGCGCTCAAGGAGGCGGCGGCGGTGCTAGCGGAGGTGGCGGTCGCGGATGAGCGGCGGCACTCGTGGAGGCGGCGGCGGCGGCCGTGGAGGCGAGGCGGCGTTCGTGGACGCGCGGAGGTGGTGGTCGCGGGCAAGCGGCGGCGCTCATGGAGGCGGCGGCGGTCGCGGACGAGGCAGAGGCGGCGGCGCTCAAGGAGGCGGCGGCGGCGGAGAAGGACGTGCGGAGGTGGCGGCGGGTGTGGACGAGGCGGCGACGCTCGTGGGCGCCCGGCGGAGCTCGCGAAGGTGGTGGATGGCGCGGTGACGCCGTCGCTCGTCCCAGGTGGGACGAGTATGTCCGCCAGTTTTTGGCGGATCGGTTGGTCCCGGATCTGAGAGGAATATTCCTCTCCAGGGACCAACCCATCCCACCCACCCCTAAACCAAACACCCCTAAAAGTGGGTTCGTCCCATCCCATCCCATCCCATCCTTGCAACCAAACACTACCTTAATGAATGCTGCGGCAGCAAAATGCAAGCATGTATAGCTTAGCTTAGTCAAAATTGACTTGACACAAGTTAGCAGCAGCAGCAAAATGCATGTAGTAGCAAAAGATATAGCATCATGCATGAATTAACTTGATCGAACTTGACTGAGCAAAAGATTAAGTTTCGCTTCCATCTCAGATTGAGTCCTCTTCATCGAACTTGCAGACAGCTTGTTTTCCATTTGAGTCTAGCAAGCAAGGAGCAAACATTGTTGTTGAT